ACTCTTAAATTATAACCATTCATAATTCATCATCTCCTAGATAAAAAAGATTGCTCTCTTCAATGCCATAACCTGTGAAGATAACACAAAGCTAATTGAAGCCCCACAGGCTTGCACATGAAGGATGCAAATCTATCTGCTGGGCTGGCAATCAGCTCAGAACTGATCTGATATTAAACTAGCATGCCATTAATACTTGCACCTCTTGACCCCTGCCATGCAGCAATCCCAGCAGCATCCCTTTTTATTAATAACAAGAGCCATTTAGGCTCAGCATACTGATCTGCTGTTAAAAACTAGAGGAATACGGGATGACCGCCTGTTCGCCTCTGCCTCTTGACTTAGTGAAGTGAGGGCTAAAAGAAGCTCTGCATGGGTACATGAAGCCGACTATTTCAGTGCATCACTCTGGGCTTGTTCTCAGGGTTTCAATCGGTTGGCCCGATCAAAGCTACAACCAAAGTTTTTCAAACACACCAACTTGACAACTAGAGACTGCCAGTAAATGTCATGGTAGCTTGTATGTTGATAAAAACTCTGAGTGATCCAGCGGCCTCAGTCATGTTCATTCGTTGAAACTCTTTTAACACTTACAGCCAATTCTGGATTCATATTATTACTGGTGTTGTTATTGCTATTACTCCTGGAGTCCTCAAGACCATTGGTTTGGAGAAGAGCCCTTCATCTCCTCAAGCATTCCTTGAGTGCTTCCTTCATTGCACGGCTCGTTCAAGCTGTAGAATTCCCTCTATGTTGACATCCCTGTCTGATCTCCCAGCGCTGCACAAGACCTGACTCAGCTCCCTGAAGATTAAACGGACTAAAAAAAAAAATCAGATCCCCAATATTCTGTTCTTTAGTGGAAAGTGACAGTAGACTTGGTGGACTGCACTGCAGTAAAAGCACTTTTGCATTAATAATGCAAATAAAAGGTGCATTTCATGGATAGAACAAGGCTTATATCTAAAATTGACATGACAAAAGCATTCGTGATTATAAAGTTGTGTTGTAAGTTCAGTTAACCAGCCTTTCCAAAGGTCATCTTAAACAACCAGTGAGCGAGTAATGCTATAGGCATGCAATTAAGATAGAGCGAAATTAATACTAGCTTTAGGGAGATGAGGTGAAAGAAAAGAGCCTGGTCATTTGAAGTCATTAATCTAATGGGATTCTGGGTTCTTCACCGGCTCTATTGAAACATAATCTTGTCCCACTTTCAGAGATTTCTTTTTTTTTAACCATAACACCCAAAAAACTCTCAGCATGAGATCCACCCCAGGCCCAACACTCATTTGCAAATTATCTCAGACATTTATAATGTTCTTGGGACAGAACCAAACTCATCTTTAACTCACAATTCAATGCTAATTGGGTGATGGACTTGGGGACAGAGCCAAATGAATTATGGGCATGTATTTGTCCTGTTTTAAATCAGGAGAAGAAAAGAGAAGCTCAAGAGGTATAATGGCTGTAAAAAATCTTGATTTTACACTTATCACACTACTTGATCTGTGAGTCTTCATACCAATATTTACAACATTGCCTCGGGATGAAGAAAATTATTTTATGCTCATTCATAAAAATGTCTCCAAATGACAAGCCAAGGAGCGTGTTAACTTTGAAAGCTACTTGATAAATCAAGTATCACTGAATTACTTAAGGTACTGAGATAAATTTCATTTGTTATCCAATTTCAACGATTGTTAAACATATTTGACAATTCAATATTTAAATAGCAGAACACATGATGCAATAAGTTCAGTGTTAATATATATATGCTTACGCACTAGGGTTATTTGGAAAGCTGATACATACTTAAATGGATTGTAAGATATGCACATTATCTTGTACATTAATTTTTAAATTAAAAATCTTGATAATATCAATGGACACGTTATGGGTCAACAACCCACAAATATATATTTTCTTAACGCAAGATCAAAAGCTGGTCAAAAACATTCAAACATCCTGCCTACATGCAGACAATTTACTAAAAACACCTACATTCTTTAAATACTATAAATTCAAGAGCATATTCTTCTAACTTTCAGCTAGAGTAGCACGCACTGAATTATCGTTTTAAAGAGATTTTCGACAGGAACACAGCTCTGCACTACAGGCTGACACATGAGATATTCTTCTTGACTAACGTATAAAAGAGAACTGAGCATTGAGTGAAGCCCATGCAAAATTCATTACTGCCCAAAACGAGTCTCCATGGCAGAGCTGCTCAGATTTTCCAATGGACTGCGTAAAAGTACCAATGTAGACTCAATCTGCCCATAAAGTCCTACAGAAAAACATGCATTTAAAAGCAACAAGCATCCCGCTTTGTTTTTGTCCCAGCTCTGTAACTTACTCAGCAACCCAAACTTACACACGCTCACACTGTTACTGCACATTAAGACTGTGAACAGAACAGGAAAGCTCTAGGTTGTTTATGTTTAATGATACTACTAATTATTTAAACACTTTCTGGGCGTATAGATGAAAATCACTGACTACACAAAACTTCCACTAAACTAGAAAACTACACCGCGGTTCAAACAGTCTCTTCTATGACTAAACGCAGTTTTTATACAAACAGTAAAGCTTTGAGAGGGCTGAATGTCATTGTTTTAAGATAAAGCCGTGTTTGTGCAAACTAAAAGGAGTTTAAAATAAAAACATTGATAAGGCGCTTCTCTGGTTTTCTTCAGAACGAGGTTAGCGCGGCTAGCCGTAGCATTTCTTCAGTTCTGAAGAGGCAAAACTGCACTTGTTTGGAAGAATACATAAAACATGACTCACCGATACAGTTTTTTTTTTATACAGCTATCCGTAAGCGATCCTCAAAGGTTTACTAAGTTTAAAAAATGAGAGGTGAACTCAAACTCTCGTTGACAGCATCACTCTCTGAACCGCCATCTTCACTCAGCTATGATGCTGCTGCTGGCTCGAGAGACGCTCTACCTACCGAAAACTCTGGAACAAACCAAATCAGTCCGTCAGATGGGGGGAAACCTGCAGAAACTCACAATTTCGCATGGCATTATCTGAAAGTATTGACACAACTGAAGCTTAAGTTGGATGTGTTAAAATCTTTTAACTGGAATTTTAGAGTGCTTAGAGCAATATATACTGGTTAAAACATTTAAAGAAATAAATACTGTGAATTAAAACCCCCGTACTGTAATCAAATTTGAGAGACTTGTTTCCAACAAAGTGCACCTCCGAACAGATTTTTTCAGGTAGGGGTACAAACAAGGACCGGTGTGAGATTATCGTGCATTATCTTGACACATTTGTTTTTAAATACATTCACCTGAACTGTCAGTACAGTGGTTTGAAAACACTGTATTATACACGTTTAGACAAGCATCATTATATTTGTTTATCAATAAGACAAATCATCAAAAAAGTTTAATTTGGCACCACAACTACTTGCGTGATTGAATATGCAAAGCTTTTAAATACCAGCCCATTTATAAAAGAATCGGGATCCCCGATAGACCACAAAATCACCGCAGTGTCAATATTTAACCTTCTAGCGCCCCCAGGCGATTAAAACCCCCACACTTGCAATTAAACGTATTCATGAAACTATTCGTATCATTATCCATATAAACAAAGTAAACATTTTGTTGTTTTTGTTTGTTTTCTTCAAAAAATATTCAGCAAGAACGCATTTAATTAATCAATTTAGTTAAGACATTTATAGTTTTGCAAAAAAAATCTATTTCAAATAAATGCTGTTCTTCAAAGAATCCTAGAAAAATGTGTTAGTTTTCACAACAATGTAAAGCAGCACTACTGCTTTCAACATTGATAACAAGAAATGTTTCTTGAGCACCAAATCAGCATATTAGAATGATTTCTGAGGTATTATATTTCCATTTCCATTTCCAATTCAGCTTTACCATCACAGGAATTTGAATACATTTTAAAACGTATTCAAATAGAAAAGTAATTTTAAATTATAATATTTCACAATATTATTGTTTTTACTGTTTTTAAACCAATAAATGCAGCTTTGGTGAACACGAAAACTTACCAACCCCAAAATTTTGAATGGTACTATTAATAACGGTTAGAACAACAGACACAGATAAACTATTAGTGTTTTGATTTATCTTTATTAAGTAAACTCTACATTTTTAATATTGCTTTGTTCCAATTTAGTTTTTCTCTTTTCCCCCATTTATTCTAAATTACATCCTCTTGCAATCAAAACAGTTTCATATTTATATGTATTTATATAGATTTTTTTTTTTGTTGTTTTTTTCCAACCAAGCTACACTTGAAGAATACAAAAATATCACAGTACATTTTCTACGCAGTTACTCTCTCCACTAGTGAGTTCCAAAGCTGGGGCCGATGCTGGAAACATGGGAATCTGGCAGTGACGTTTATTGACCACTCAATTACGCTAGGCCGAGGGGAGCAGTTAACCTGTTTTAAAATGAGAACAAAACTAGATTTTGTGGTTCGACTAAATCTTGAAATATGAAATTGCAAGGTCTATTAATGGTATGGGAAATTACTTGTCCAATAGCTGGATTTCGGATATAAAAGAAACCAATTTAAATGAAATTTAAACAGGAAGCCTGAATTGTTTTGGACTTAAGTCACCGCTGACATCTAGAATTAAAGCTGTGTAATCTGGTCCAGCCAGACTTCTCTGTTCCAGCACTCAAGCCACCAACATCTGACCGGAAAAAGGAACTCACAGATCAGTCAGTAATAACATTCTTCCATTCCTCATCCTGCTCTCTGCAGACACGCCATACTATACAAAATATTAAAAACAAAAGATAAAACAAAACACTGAAGAATCCTCACCCGTACTTTGATTATTGTTTCATAATAAATGTCTCTTTTATTCTTTTAACAAAGTTTTGTTTTATTTTCCTCATTTTTACACTGCCATCCACTATCCAACGTTGAAATCCTTAATGACCGGTGGAGGCTCTGTTCTCCAGGGTAGAGGAATGTTGCAGTATGAGTCTGACATTTAGTGGTTTTGTTCAAACTTGAACCAAACATCAACATAGCAAGTGAAAACCTTAGTCCCCTTATCAACCACCTAAATGAACTCAGGGGATCACAAAACATACTAATCAGTGAATGAAAGATGTTAGGACACAGATAAAACATAGATCGCCATTAAGTTACTTGACTGAACACACCAAAAAGTAACAAAAGAAAAAAGGGTCAGACACAACACTGGGATCAACAACTCGACGAAGGAGGGACCCACTGACTGAAGTAATTCACTTGCCCCAGTATCTCTGTACCACTTTCTCATGACTTCTGGGCCTGAAGGACTAAATTTTCAGTCATGTGAGTGGTCTTGTACAGGAAGTTGGCATGGCTACACTTCCTATCAAGGGGAACTGTGTGTCGGATTGAGCTGTGTCAGTGGTCTTTTTGGGGGGGGAAATCAGCAGGAGATTGGGTGTCTCGGTCCCCGCTGGTCTCTAGAGCAGTCATGGTGAGAAGGTGGCCATCTCCAACGAGATCCGCTGCCATAGTTCTTTTGTCTGTTTGCCCCTCTTCAGGTTCTGCAGCACATCGTTGAACTGCATCATGCCAACTGGTGTCAGGCAAAACGCCCCGCGGGCACTTCGGATGATGTTCACAAAGTCGTCATAGTCTGCGGGAGTCAGATGGATCAGCCGGTGGTGGATATACTGGAACAAAACATAATTAGAAATTTAAATGAGCAGGGAGGACATGAATTCTGTCCCAAGGTTATTTTATTTTTGCATTTTAATAGTATTTTTACTATTTTCAAATTTAATTTCAGTTTAGTTTTTTTTTGTTTCCAACAAAAGTTTTGTTAGTTATAGTTTAGTTTTTCTATTATTATGAAATGCAGTTAGCAAGCCTTATATAATGTCATCCGTTTCTAAATGTGAAACATACAAAGCTCCTAAGGGGACATAGTGATGAAAAAATATGAGATGGAAGAAGGAAAAATTATATGTTAATGCTTTTGCATGCACTCACAAAATGTTTGCATTCCCCCAAGAAACTGTGAATACATTTATAATTTTACAAAATACATTTTTATTCTTCAAAGAATCCTGAAAAAAAAAAAAAAAAAAAAAAATGTTTGCAGCTCAAGCAGTTTTCAACACTGATAGTAATAATAATAATAATATTAAATGTTTTTGCGAAAAGGTTTGCGTTAGTATGCAGTTTCTCAGGGGAACGCAAAAAGTTGAGATGGAAGGAAAAATTACATTTCAATGCTTTTGTGGTTCCCCAAAAAGTTGTGTTCTGTCGCAAAAGTTTCTTGGAGGAATGCAAAAGTTGAGAGCAAATCAAAGCACTGAAATATAATTTTTGCTCCTCTCTCATATTTCTTCTTTCACCATGTCCACTTAGGGGCCCTGAAGAATCAGGATATTCAACCAGGGAAAAAGGACAGGTTTTAAAAACAGCTTGTTCAATTTTGATTGAAACTTAAAGATTTATTTATTTTTCATTGGAATGATAATTGTAAAAACAAGGAGCTTGTAAGAGATCAGAGATGGATGAGAGCGAATTTAAAGGAAGATAACTCCAGATTAATAAATTAATATTGTAATATTATTTCAGTGTTTGTATTAGCTTGGAGGACAATCAAAAAGTTGCCTCTTTTTTTTTTTTACAAATAAAGGGAATAGATATAGTGTGCAGATTTCCTGTTTATACTCATGCATTGTTGCTAGGTGGATTGTTTGTTTTTTCAATGGTGTAATGGGCTATTTTTCCTAGCAGAAGCATCAAGCTATTCTACTAGATGAAATAATTCAACTAAATTTAAATCAATATTTCATGTTCATTTATTTATTTAGCAAGTAGATAAATACAAGAATATTTCAATAAATAAACTATAAACATAATGCTTCGTTTTGAGGGTTTTGAGTTTATTTTCTAGCTCTAAATGTGTTTACGTATCTTTCAACAGCATTTCATTACTGTCATGCCTTTTGATCTCCCTGTGGTTAAACATGTGCGACATGACAAATTCATAAATATTCCTGCTACTGGATGGCACTAACCTGAACCCGTTTTAATAAAATGTAAACAGGTTATGAAGCATCATGTCCCCGGATGTTTATTGGGACATGTAGCATATGGAGTGCATTTCCCACCAGCGATGTACGAAATGACTCAGTGACAGTCTGGGTAGGTTTCTGCTTGAGTACAGCCTCTCGGTCCCTCATCTTATTCTCCACGCATGGAGAGAGTGGATTAGAGCTGGCACGGTCTCCCTTTCACATTTACCCAACATTCATTTGCAAAGATTTACAGTGGCAGACATATGGTAGTGTCCCTTGATCTGGGCATTTTAAAATATAAGGCCATGAGAGCGCAATAGCCACTTACGTAGACAACCACGTTGTTTGCCCATGCAACAACTTGAAACCTCTTTGAAATGGCAAAATAAAGACTCTGAGCCTGCTAGCAGGTTACTGCAAGAGCATGTCTGTGTGTGAGAGGGAGAGATAGCATGGGTGCGCTGCTCCTCTAGGAAGCAGCTCTTGGCTTTGGGCTGTCACAGTGTGTTTGATGCTCTCTCATCAGTATGCTCCATCCCGTGAACAGACTCAGGCTTCCCTCTCTAGCTTTAACACTCCAGAATTGTTCATGCACAATTTATATTCAGTGTGGGCGACAATGCCATCACAATCCAGCCTTGGCGCCACTCGAATGCTCTAAAACCCTACTTAAATTCTCTACTTGAAACTAGAAACTAAGTCTAACTAATATAAAAACGAACTTTGAGATGGTTGCACCACATTCAATACAAATGTCAGCTGTAATGGATCAGCTTGTGTTGGAGTGTAATTTTAACCACTTCTGTCAGCGCAAGAATATAAGTTCCTGGATTATCATCATCATCATCAGGGTACAGACTTATTTCAAGATTTCATCCTATTAGGGATGTTATTAGTAATAATGTCAGTGTGATTAGTTCCCCAGGCTGAATCTTAGGGATTTGTGAATCTGTACCTGTAAGTAGGCCTGCTGGCAGCGCTGCACGAGCTGGTGGAAGGCAGGGGTGCGGAGGTGTGCGTGGATATGTGCAGGGTTTAACCTCTGCAGAGCCTCCATAATGATCTCCTGCAGGACAAACGGACTAAGAACACCTTTCGCTGCCCCCACACAAAACTGGTACACGTGGTTCACACCTGAGGAGAGAGGAAGAGGGAGGAGGATAAGGAAACATTCTGAAACTGAATGAATCTCTAATACATTGCATTTAAAAAAAATTAAATTGTCATCATTTACTCGCCCTCATGTCGTTCCAAACCTGTAAGACTTTCGTTCATCTTCAGAACACAAATTAAGATTTTTTTTATGAAATCCGAGAGATTTCTCTCCCTCTATTGACAGCTATGCAACTACCACTTTGACGCTTCAAAAAGTTCATAAACAGATCATAAAACTAACCCATAATAATTGAGTGGTTTAGTCCAAATTATCACAGAAATCTCCCAAATTATATAAAAAATATCTTCATTTCTGTACAGAAGATGATCAAAAAGGGATGATCTTGCAGGTTTGGAACAACATGAGGGTGAGTAAATGACAGAATTTTTTTGTTTGAATTAACCCTTTAAAGTGGCCCTATTAGGGGCCGTTCACATATCACTTCTAAAAACGCGCGGAAGGAGTTCCTTCTTTCCAAAGCGCTTGCGCCCCCGTTGCGTCTGTTGGTGCTATGCAACCACGAACTGCGATCTCCACAACGACGAAGTAGTTTCAGTAATGGATTTCCACCACCGAAAAACGCTTGTTGCAGCTCTGCTACAAGATTTATTTACAGAGAAAAAACAAAAACGTAGTGTTTGGGTGCACCCCATACTTCATGTTGACTGAGCTCTCAATGATGTTAGGGAAAGGGTGAAGTGCAGCTGATTGGTTGCTTCATCACATGACCTGCTGTGCGCTTGTGGCATTCTGACAAGTTGTCACTCTTAAATTTCGTTGCGCCTGTAAATCTCGAGCGCGTCACACCACGTACATTTGAAATAGCGAACTTGAGCGTGCAAAAGACGCGATATGTGAACGGCCCCTTATGCCATTTTAAAGGTTCCTAATTTTGGTTTTCATGCATCAAGATAAAAAAAAAACGTGAATTGTCTCATAATCAGTGTTGGGAAAGTTCACTTTCTACATGAACTAGTTCAAAGTTCAGTTCACACATTTTAAAATGAACTAGTTCAGTTCATAGTTCATACTTCAAAATTTTGAACTAAGTTCACAGTTCCAAAAAATGAACTAGTTCATAGTTCTTTTTTTCCATATGTTGCTGCGAGCTATTTATTTTGTTTTAAATTATTGCCACAGCCCATACAACCACAGACAGCAATTATTTTATCGGCGGGCAAAGTTTGCACAGAAATGTAAGATTTTTCCTCACTGACCTTGTCATAAAACTTGTTTAAATGATCATACAACGCCTCCTCGATGCTTTGTCGACCTCATGCTGCTTTTAGTTTTGATGACGCATGTGGCGGCCGCGGTGCAACACTGGTGGCTTGGGTTGCCAGATTGGGTGTTTTTTTCGCTACATATTAAGGCCCGTTTACGGTGTGTTTTAGCCGGGTTTTGGTCTGGAGGGCTCTATAGAAATCTGGCACCCTATTGAACTAAGTTACTGAGAGAGCGTGCGTTCACAGACACCAGAATGAACGAGTTCACAGTATCGTTCATCAGGCAGTAAATACAGTACGTTCAGTTCACGTTCGCCCAAAATATGAACGAGTTCATGAACTATCGTTCAATGAACGCGTTCAGGCACAACAGTGCTCATAATATACATTGCACATCACCTAATTTCAAAAAAAGTCTGAAAATGATTAGTTCGAAGATTCAAGGCTTGTTCGACTTCATGCAGCTCTGCGCAGACCGATCGGCGGCAGACTTGAAGCAGTGCATGCCGGTTAGAAATTTTGTCCGACTTGATACAACGCCGACGCCACGTGACTGTGACGTATGCCATCAAAGTACCGCGAGAGCGATTCGAGAGTAGCCGGAGAACTCAGCCAGCGCAGCTTCTGAAGAGCGGCTGCTCTGGGCTGCACGAGCTCTGATGACGACACAGCTGTTCCACGATTGGCCGGATTCACCGCATGACAACGATCACGTGCATTTCGTGTTTATTCGGAGGAATTATACAAATCAGTTTTTTTATAACAGTAAACACTCTTTTCATGTAGTCGCGATGTATTGTGTTATGTTTATCAAAATAAAACTGATTAAAAAACGTTGATTCCACTTCATTGATAGTAGCTGTAGGCTTATGTTGAACTTTATTCTTGTTCAAACAAACGCTGTATGAAGCAGTTCATAAAGTATTGAATGAAAATGGCTCTGAAACATCTGTGTATTTGGCAAATATCGCATTTATTTCACTTCAGCTGTGCTAAAGTATACAAACACCACGTGAGCGGTCACTACAGGAACCAGAAAGTGTCCGACTTCACGTCTCCATTTGCAGCTCCTCCCCGCGGCTACTCTCGCCGATCAGTTACATCCAGCCGCAGCCGATGTCGAACACACCTGCAGTCTCTCTAAACTCCTCCTTTCTGTGAGCCTAGTCTGCTTTGATTGGTCTAACGGCCCAGTCTGTTGTGATTGGTCTCTACCGCTTACAGCGCATGTTGGAAACCAAAACGCCTATTACCATATTTTAATTTCAGCTCCGGAGGCTTCTTCAGCACTTGTATACACAAGTAATACGAACTATGGCATTGGGTTTTCCATATCAATTCCAGCACGAGACCTCATTCTTTTGAAGTGCGTGCAAAATGGATTTGCAGCGCTGAAAACAGTCTCGACATGTTGACAACACAAGCCAAACTTTTCTAGGCCTCAGCTAAAACAACAGTGTTCGAGGTCGGATCAAAGTAGACCTTGTTTGTGGGCAGCCAATGAAGACCATAGGCTGGTATTATGCACATTTTTTTACATTGTTATGGATGATGTAATTGCTGACAACACATTTCAGGAGTTCAGATCAATGTCAATAACAACCATTTCAAACAACCATTTCAATAAGCCAACTTCATCGCACCTTTCTGGTTATGTCTAGCTCATCAGTGCATTGCTTTGCTTGTTCTGTTTTTTCCATAAAATAAAATCCAATGAGCCTACAAGTCCCAGACTGAATATGTTGGGATCACAGCTATAGCATCACAGCTCCATAAGTTATCAAAAAAGATAATTTGCATGAATAACTTATTTAATAAATCAAACCCAGATGGGAGGCTTTACAGAGGTCAAGTAATTTTTATTCTTTGTGTGGTGAAATTTAGTGAAATATCACCCACAAGTAAAACACAATCGGTAGAACTGTTAACGCAAACAACTTTGGAAGACTGCATCTTTAGATTATGTCCATAAATTGTGAGGAAAGCGGTTTTATAACTGAACTTATATTTTGTTGCATTTTTGTTGCATTATGTCTGCATTTCCTGTGCACCATTTCCTGGTCCCAAAGTTTTTACTATGAAGGGCCAAAAACTTGCATCATATATCTAACTATATAATAATAATAATCTCTACCTTTCAATGCAAAAATATGTTCAAACAAAAAGATACATTAGAAATAAAGATGTGCTTCAACTTAATTACACTAAGGCTTGTTATTCAGTTTTCTTAGAACTGTAAGCATTACCAAAAATATGCCATTGAATATTCTAATCAATTAACAGCCCTCTATTTTGACTTGCCAAGCTGCATTTCAAGTGTGCTCACATTTAGTATTAAAAAGTCCTTATAATTCAAAATTCCCTATAAATTAATAATTCCCTTTAGGCTAAATTGGCCTGTTTCCCTTACATCTATTGGTGGAGAATGTGGGCAGTTTAATCTAAATTGTAAGTGTATACTAAGTCATTTATCTTTTCCATTGTTGTGGATGATATAGATGTGACGTATGTAGCGCATGGCTTGATTGAATGTATGAATGAATGAATTAATGCAGAGAAAGCTGTTACTCTAATCTAGTCTGCCTCCCTATTTTTAAACTGCAGTAAATTAAGATCTGATCTTAATTTAAGATCTCACACTATACGATAAGGTAAGAATTGAGCATGTTCCTCAATTTCTAGAATGCCTTGTTTATAGCTAAACTGATGCCATTGCATGTTCAGTGTCATTCAAATAGCTATCAGTCACAGAGACCTGAACGAAATTAAGCTGCAGTAATAAAAATTCCTCTGTAAGGATGAATATTCTCCTCACAGAGCGGTAAGATTGAGTGTGTTCCTCGATCTATTTCTAAAGGCCTTATTTATTCATAGCAAGATTGTTTGTCAGTGCGTGTACCATTTCAATTAATGTGCTATATCCTCCCTGTGTTAAACAGCTAAATGCTTGCCTTTGTGAGAGCTTGTGCAACACTGCTTGTCCGAGTGTGATTTGAAGGGGAGTGATTTAAATCTTGATCAAGTAAAGCTTAACATTGCAACTGTGAATCAACAGTGAAGAAACCCTGTTGTTTTACTTGCCCAGAGAAACTTGCACAGAGAGACAATCCGCCGAGATCGCTGTTCCATCAATTACAGCGCAAAACTGTTGTTTGCTTAAAGGGTTAGTTCACCCAAAAATGACAATTCTGTCAGTAATTACTCACCCTCATGTTGTTCCAACCCCGTAAGACTTTCGTTCATCTTCGGAACAGAAATAAAGATATTTTGGATTAAATCTGAGAGCTGTCTCACTCCTCCATAGGCTTCTATTGTAATTGAAATTTGCCGGCCCAGAAAGTAAATAAAAACATTGTTAAAATAATCCAAGTGACTACAGTGGCTCAACCTTAAGTTTATCAAGCGACGAGAATACTTTTTGTGCGCAAAAAAAACAAAAATAACGACTTTATTCAACTATTTGTTTTCTTCTATGTGGGCCTCAAAGTGAGTTCACATAGTGTAACAGCGCAGCGCTACGTCAGAACGTGGGCTCACTATTGGCCGACGCTGGTCATGAGTGTGATGCTGGCCAATAGTGAGCCTACGTTTGCCGGGGACACTAGCGTTTGCTAGTTTGCCGGGGACACTTAACTACTAGATAAAACATTTTAAGACTGAACTGAACACACTTACAGACCGTTTCCAATGACTGGAGCAGATTTTAAACACCGACTGTAAACACCAACTATAAGCAACAGTTTCTGACACAG